TGTCTTCTCTTTCAAATCTCCAACATTATTGAAGAATTTAAAAATAAATATGCCACAGACCATATCATAATGGGAGGGGATTTTAATCTAACTCAGGATGAATGGTTAGATAGATGGCCAAGCAAATACTCTTATTATCATCCAAATCAAATAATGAGTGACTTTATGAACCAGAATAATCTAGTGGATATTTGGAGAGAGCAAAATAAATATGCTAGATCTTTCACTTGGAGAAAACCTAATGGTCAGGCATCCTCAAGAATTGACTATTGGCTAATATCTAACGCTATAGCAGACTATAAATGTTCTTCAACAATATCAAGTAGTCCTTTAACAGATCACCGTGTAGTTGATTTAAACATAACATGTTTACAAGAAGAAAATAAATATATTCGAGATTACTGGAAATTGAATCATAGTCTACTAGAAAATAGGGAATATTGTGACGGCATAAAGAAAATTATAAGAGACACTAAAAAAGATAATGATCTTAAAACAGCTGTACAAAAATGGGAATTTCTAAAATTTTCAATAAGGAAACACTATTTTCTTTAGCAAAAACTGAAAATACAAAAAAATGAGAAGGAGTCAAATCTCATTCAAATCATTCTTGATATATATGGTAAAATTGATTGGTGTGAAGAAGACAGAATTAACTTAGCCAAATCACAAAATGAATTGGATGAAATTTATTTACAGAAAGCTCAAGGAGCGTATATTCGGTCAAGAGCCAGATGGATGGAGGAGGGGGAAAGAAGTACAGCGTACTTCTGCAGGTTAGAAAAACAAAGACAAAGTAAAAATTCTATCTCATCCCTCATAATTGAGGACAAAGAATGTACAGACTCTAAAAAAGATTGCTAAAGAAGTATTTCAATTTTACAGCAAAATCTATGAAGCCTCATTTGATGAAGGAAATGCGGAAACCTTTTTAACTTAATTCAGCATAATATCCCCAAAACTGAAAACAGTTTTAAAAATGATTGTGACGTAGACTTGAAATTAGTAGAGCTGGATGAGGCAACAAAAGAGATGCGCTTAAATCGTTCACCTGGTCCTGATGGTCTGACGTCAAACTTCTATAAACATTTTTGGGATGAAATTAAATGTTTACTTTATAGTGCTATAAAGGAATGTATTAATTCAAATGAACTAATGGTAACAATGAAAGAAGGAATAATTAAATGAATACCCAAACCTGGTAAAGACAAACGATTTCTAAATAATCCTAGACCAATAACTTTATTAAACACAGATTATAGAATCCTGACAACTGCATTGACTACTAGATTGAAAAAGGGTTTATTAAAAGTTATTAGTCCAACTCAATCAGGTTTTTTTAAAGGAAGATCAATACACAATAATATTCGTATGGTTCTTGATATTATGGATTACAAATCTTTGTTCCCAGATGACGGATTGATCTTATTCTTGGATTTTTCTAAAGCATTTGACTCTGTGGAACACAGGTTTATACTTAAAACCCTACAATTCTTTGGCTTTGGTGAAAAATTCTTAAATATAATCGCTATGTTACATAAAGATATTAATAGTTCAGTTTCACTCTCTAATGGAACCTGCCCTAGATTTCAAATTTCAAGAGGAATCAGACAAGGATGCAGTCTCTCCCCCCTCTTATTCATGTTAGTCACTGAGCTGCTCACTATTCATCTAAAGTCATCTAAAGTCCAAGGTCTAAATATAAATGATAATTCTATCCTAGTTAGTCAGTTAGCAGATGATACAACCCTGTTCTTAAAAGATAGAAACCAAATCCCAACAGCGTTAAAAACAATTAAACTATTTTCAGAGGCATCAGGACTAAATCTCAATATTGATAAATGTGAACTAATAAAAATACATGAAGGCCCGGAGACCTCCTTGTTTAACATCCCTGTTAAAAAAGAAGTCTGCTATCTAGGAATTTATATTACAAATGTTCCAAGTGATAGAAACCAGAAGAACGTTCTGAACACAGTAGAAAAAAACAAGAACATCTTAAACAGTTGGCTTCAAAGAGATCTGACAGTATTTGGAAGAACTCTTCTAACAAAGATGGAATCCATTTCTAGACTGATATACCCTGCTCAATCATTGGCCATATCTCCTAAAATTATTAAAGAAATAAATAAGATGAATCTTGATTTTATATGGAAGAACAAAAATCACTACATTCGAAAAAGTGATTTAATTAAGAATTATGAAGATGGTGGTATAAAAGCAATAGATTTTGAAATTTTGAATGGAGTATTAAAAATTAAATGGCTTAAATCCTTCTTAATAAATAGAGAGGAAATTTGGCATACAATTCCGAAATTTATATTTGAAAAAGTTGGAGGAATGGAATTCCTATTAAGATGTGATTTCGAAATCCCGAAGTTGCCTCTCAAACTTTCTGAATTCCACAGACAAGTCCTCTTTTTTGGAAAAATGGTTTTCAAACATAACTTCAGCCCACATAATGTTCCGATGTGGAATAGTAGAACTATTTTGGATAGAACCAAAACCATATTTGTAAAAAGTTGGATGGACAGAGGAATTTGGTCAGTGACACATATTTTAGACGAAAATGGAAATATTCTTTCACTTAAGAACTTCAATCTCAAATAAGATGTTGACATTGCTGAAAATGAATATAATAAGGTGATTAAAAATATCCCAAGTGCTCTGGTTCATCTAGTTAAAGCTTCTATCGGTTAAATATTTAACCCTAGACTCAAAATATTTGCAGTTGATGGGATAGAAATTTTCAATAAAAAATGTAATAATATTTTCCTGAGAAACAAATTAAACAAAACCTTTTATCCAAACCCAATACTCCGATTCTCGTTACTACACAACTTTTCAAAAGAAGAAATTAAAATTTTGAGAACCAACTATCGAAAATTCTCTTTACCCCCAAAGTATAAAGAAGTCCATTTTAAAACCTTGAATGATATTTACCCATCTAACCATTTTATACAAACTAGATTTAAGTTCAATGTGGAAAAATGTTACTAATGCAAACAAAACGATGAATCGACCAAACATCTGTTCTGTGAATGTTATAAAATTTTAATGATGTGGAATTCACTCCAGGATTGGCTGAACTCCAATCAAATTTATATAAACAATTTCACAGTTGAAGATATCTCATTTGGCATTATACTAAAAGATAATAATAACGAATTTCTAATTAATAATCTCACAATCATAACAAAATTTTTTCATACACAAATGCAGATATCTCAAAAATCCACCTACGTGGAATAATCTCAAAAATGAAATTAAACTGCTGTCGAGATCCTTAGGTAAAATGTCCACCCCCAATGCGATAAAGCTTTATAATTTCATTATGAACACTAATCTCTAACCGCTTTTTGGATGATACACACAATAGGCCTTGTTTGCCCTTTAACTTCCCCCTTGTAAAACTTTTATTTATATACACATATAATTTGTGTTTTCATGCTGTCTTACTTGTATCCTTTCATGTTCTATTTTTGTTTTGAATTTTTATTTTATCTTATTTTTTTGTTTATTGTCTTCTTACTATACCAAGTTGAATTGTATCTACAGAATGCAAGTTGAGATGAACACTGACTTCGGAGCTACTCTGTAATGTCAATCTGCTAACAAATTTTGAAATGTAGTCGCTGTTGTTCGTTTTGCAAATGTTCAATCAAAGTTCTTAAAAAAAAAAAAAAAGGAGCCAATCAGGAGAGGGACCTCACAACAGCTGACGTGGGTCATGTGACAGGGAGTAGTTAATATGGGTTACACTTTGTTGTGCTTTTATTACAGAGATATTATTATTATCATCACTATTATTATTAAGAACATGCAATTTCTATGTTTTGTTTATGTATTGGTTGATGCAAAAAAAAAATTTTTTTTAGAAAAAAAAAAAAAAAAGGAAATTAAATGCCGCCCCCTGCAGACTGCCGCCCTGTTCGGCCGCACATGTTGCACATATCAAGCTCCGCCACTGCTTCTATGTCACAGGGGAAATGAAAATGTGTGGCCCCGCCCACCTTGGCTTGGGACCACCCATGGGAAAGAGAAAGCAGAGCGTGTCTCTGCTAGTAGAAGCTAACTTTTAGCATTAGCAACTCCATAACATGACAGAATTCCTTCAGGCTTGTTATTAGAGAATAGAAAACATAACGTTGCGTTTTTTACCCTAAAAATAAGAATAAACAAAGGCCAAGCTGCTCACAGCCAATCAGATATGAAACATTTGCATATCGTGAATATTAATGAGTAAGACCCCCACACACACTCCTGACTAACTTCTACTTCCTGAAACAGGAGCGCCAGAGCTTCTACTCTACAGAAAAGGACTCGCAAGCCCTCTCCTCACGCTGGAGACCTAAACAGATGAAATAACAACACCTCACTTTTCTTACTGAAGAAACCCTGATGTATGCCTTTATTCCTTCTTATCGTTAGGTACTCAGAAGTAATTTGAGAGAATCTGGTACCGGTGCATCCCAAATCCTTTTAGCTACACACTCAGTTAAACAATCACATTTTATTCATAACAGTAATTCCTAAATTAAGGCTTTCAGGATGCACTTCCACACCATTAAGGAGCCAGCAGTGAAGGGCGCAGGAGTTACACTGATTAGATTTACAAACTGCAGACTCCTCCATCTACTGTAGAGATGCTAAATATAGAAGCTGTACATGAACAAGGACCTTTTTTAAAAATACCTCTTCCGTGGATAAAGCTTTGAAGTACAGCGTCACACGTTCCCAGAAAGGCTGCTTCAGCCCGCTTTACCAGACTAAAGCTCTCTGTTACCGCATTGCTCCACCTACTAAAGCAGCAGCGTGGAACGGAGTTCAAATGAAAACTATCCTCAGAGGCCTGATTATTAACAAGATCAGCAGAACCACACGGACCTCTGGGACATTGCTGGGGAAGATGAATGACATGCACGCCGAAGAGGACAGCCACAGCTCGCCACGATTCTCCGTTTGACGACTGAAGCTATATCATCCTGAATGTGGCTCACCTTGTCTCTCAGATGATGCTCTGCTGCGTCGATGTTCAGCGGGTCATCAAAATTCAACAGATCCTGCAGAAAGGGAGAGAAGAAAGAAGGCGTGATTAAAGATGACCTCCAAAAGCCCCACGATGCAGGACTACAGCGCTAGACGTGTCATGCCCGGGACCTCGAAAATGTTGTTTTGGAAAAGTTTCAGGGTGCAGTTCTGGACTCTCTGAGTCAAATGCTATGAACTAAGAAAAGCTGTTGTGGGAAACTCGGCCCACTCCTGCACCGTCTGCTGCGTGCAATGTCACAGCGACAAACAAACCCCCTAATTGCAGCGTTGCCTCAGAGATGCAACACCGCACCAGTGAGGCAAGCGTGTTGTTGGAGATAAAACGGACCGCCGGAGATCATTTCCTGACTCAACGGAGAGATTTAGGACATGACCTTGTTTACGTGCCGGATTAGCTTCACTGTGATCACCACAAACACGATGCTGACCTTGAGATGAGCACATCTTCACAATCACTTAGGAATCTGGCTGAATATGAGCAGCTTACTTGATATTTACTTTGGTAATTAGCTCATATCTGAAGTTTGTATTTGATTAAGCATGTTTGCATTCAAATGAAACGTATTTCTCATTATTTAGAGAAGATGATTCTCTTCCCAGCCGAGGCCCCGAAGCCAGAGGGCTCTGGATCAGAACGACAGTCCAACTGTCCTACTTCCATCTTCCAATTATTCCAGTGTTTTTCATAAAGAGGAGCCTTTCTCCCCAAGAGAAGCGTTACGATCCCGCCTCAGACTACGATGGTTTCCAACGAGCAGGCGTGCTTTTGAAGCACGTTTAAATGTGAATTAGTGTTAAGGTGGATTAAGCTCAACTTACAGTGAACAAGGAGTTCAATCCCCAGACTACATCCTGCAAAAGAGAAGAAATCACACCAACATCAAAATCAAATGTCAGTTAGATGTTTCACGTGCTGTTATTTGTCCTTTCTTTGGTATTTGTGATCCATGAATAAAAAAACATTTCAGAAAGAAAATCTATAATCAGAAAGATCACAAAAACCCAAAATGACCAAAATGTACTGAACCCTCAAGCTAAGAAGAACACCTCACATCATCACGTTCTTTGCTAAAGTAAAGATGAGGCATGCTCTTATTTTGGTAAAACCCTTTGAGTAGCTCCAGTAAGTTGGTTATTGTGGCAGCAAGAGAGCATAATAAACTCATAATTAAGTTAATACTGGTTCTGGTTTCAGATTAAACAGCTGAGAACGAGACGAGGTTTGTTTCCTCATGAATGAAACGAGACCTTTCACCCGTCCCACTCGGCAGTAACGTGCATAAAAGCAACCAAACACCGATGGAAATGGCATTAAACCATATCACTGGGCTCCAGGTGGGCCTCATTTCCAACGCATCCTAACATTTTAACCTTGCCTTTAATTCCAGAAGCGCACACGTCTGACACGACCCCAAACATTCTTTACTTTAATCTATTTACGTTGCTTTAAGTCAACAAACATTATCCACGCCAGCAAAAAGAGCTGAACACATTACGGCCAGAAAGAACGAATGAGCCTGAACAAAAACCACATTTATGTTAAAAGGAGAATTAAAGCGATTGACGGGTTTATTTATTGCGGGGAAGAGAGGAGGCCGGGGAGCAGGGCCACTCGTCACCGTCCGCTCTGATTTGGAGCTTTTGCTCTTCGTTGTTTCTCACATCCTGAACCGGCGATGACACTCGGTGACGCACAAGAACTCGGCCATTTTCACGCGTTCACACCCACCTCCACGTAAACAAAAGGCACTTTTTCACTCAGGCAATGGAAGAGACAAAAGCTGCTTTTCTCCAAGCAAACAAAAAAAATCTAATGCATTAAAAAAAGAACATCTGTGCAGGTGTCCGGGAGAATATTGATGGTTTTAGTCTCTTCGCTGTGGAAGGCCGAGCTTCCTCCTCCTCACACGCTGGAAGTCTCTCAGGTGTCATTTTCCAAACCACTTTATTTAAGAACACTGAAAACAACAAAGCTGCTGCATAATTAAAATATATGAATAAGACATAACAAGTTAACCCTGATTAAAAAAAATAAACTACGGTTTTGAATCAAATACATCAGATCACTTCCCAGAGTTAAAATGTCCAATAGGAACAGACCGGAGCATCCTTGCTCTCAGCGTCAGTAACTGAAGGGTAAAGCATGAAAAGACAAGAACAGCTTTATATTCACCTGATCCACAGAGAATCCCACATTCCTCAACACCTGTTGTTGGTTTAAAACCACGGCCACACACAGTTTATATTTTAGAGCTTCTGCAGGAATAAAAGTGTCTTATGGCCAAATCTTAAAGGATAAACAGGTTTTAAAAGCTACTAGGAGCAAAGGCTGAATATGAACTGTGGATCTGGGCGAAACGCCGGCAGAAGTTTAGATTTCGTGTATATATATATATATATATATATATATATATATATATTACAACTTTGGGACACGTCAGATGTCAGACTAAAGCCCAAACCCAAACCGTTCAGAGGAAAACAATATTCAATAAAAAGGTGAAAAGTTCCAGAGAAATCCGCCGACTTTACCTTTAATGTTCTGGTTGGGGCCCAGCCCGTTCCATCGATAGAATGTTCCCTCAGTAAGCTGCAGGAGAAGCAGGTCGACGTGAACTCAAAGCACTTTTCCCGTTAGAAACGAACCAGCAGGCGGCACCAGTTACCTCAAACAGATCTCCCCGTTTTCCGTGATGTTGGGATGCCATATTCTGGTCAGACATCTGACTTTAGGAGGCTGAAGGACGGCACAAGAAAACCACCAGTGAGCACCGGTATCCCAGCCAGCACTCGTAAACCGTATGGGTGCCAACAGGGGTTGTCCGTGGTTTCCATGGTGGCCCCACAAGAATTTGCCCACATAGATTTTTGCCTGCATATAATTTAGCGGGCCCTACAGAGGGACCCAGAAGGTCGGACTCGTACACGGGCCGGGTATGTGGGCTAACCCCGCCGGCACCCATATGGTCATATTATATATGGTTATATATATATATATATATATGCTCTGTGTGAGGATCTAAACGCATTCTATGCCAGAGTCGACACAGCGAACTCCATGAGACCGGACAGTGAGCGCACCGCGGATGACGTCAGTGCGCTCGCTGTGTCTGATGAGGATGTGCGGAGGTGCTTCAGGAGGGTGAACGCACGCAAAGCTACTGGTACGGACGGGATTCCCGGCCGCGTCCTCAGGTCATGCGCGGGTCAGCTGGCTGGAGTGTTTACACACATCTTCAACCTTTCCCTCTCTCTGTCTGTAGTCCCAGCCTGCTCAAAATGGCCACCATTGTCCCTGTACCCAAATCCTCCACCATCTCCTCATTGAATGACTGGCGACCAGTAGCCCTGACCCCCATCGTGAGCAAATGCTTCGAGAAGTTGGTCAGGGACTTCATCTGCTCTGCACTGCCCGATTCACTGGACCCTCTACAGTTTGCATACCGCCACAACAGGTCCACTGATGATGCCATAGCCCTGACACTCCATGCTGCCCTGTCACACCTGGAGAAGAGGGACACGTTTGTGAGAATGCTGTTTGTAGATTACAGCTCAGCATTCAACACCATCGTTCCCTCGAAGCTGGACAGGAAACTGCAGGATCTAGGACTGAGCAGCTCCCTCTGCAGCTGGATCCTGAACTTTCTGACAGATGCCAGGTGGTCAGACTGGGCGGCACCACCTCATCCCCCGTCACACTGAACACTGGTGCACCGCAGGGGTGTGTGCTGAGCCCTCTCCTGTACTCACTCTACACGTACGACTGCACGGCCACGAGAAACTCCAACATCATTGTGAAGTATGCGGACGACACCACAGTGGTAGGTCTCATCACCGAACGACGATGAGACGGCCTACAGGGAGGAGATCAGCACCCTGACCCACTGGTGTCAGGACAACCGTCTCACCCTCAACGTCACAAAGACAAAAGAGATGATAGTGGACTTCAGGAGGAGCAGAGGAATACACCCCCCCATCACCATCAACGGCGACGCTGTGGAGAGGGTGAGCAGTTTCCGTTTCCTTGGAGTTCACCTGGCTGAGGATCTTACGTGGTCAGTGCACACGAACAATACAGTGAAGAAGGCACAGCAGCGCCTCTTCTTTCTCAGAAGACTGAAAAGATTTGGCATGAGCCGCCGCATCCTCAGGACCTTCTATCGCTGTGCCATTGAGAGCATCCTCACTGGATGCATCTCCGCCTGGTATGGCAACAGCACCGCTTACAACCACAAAGCTCTCCAGAGAGTAGTGCGGTGTGCAGAAAGGATTATTGGAGGTGAGCTTCCCTCCCTCCAGGACATCTACAGGAAGCGGTGCCTGAGGAAAGCGGCGAGGATCATCAAGGACTCAAGTCACCCCAGCCATAAACTGTTCAGACTACTTCCATCAGGAAGGAGGTTCTGCAGCATCCGGTCCAGAACCAGCAGACTGAGAGACAGCTTTTTCCATCAGGCCATCAGACTGCTGAACACTTCGCAGACACCTCACCCTCACTACTGAAACTCCAACATTACACGCTCCATACTGTACATTAATGCCTCTGTTGTTCACATACCAGCCTCTGTATATTTTATATCTCTTATCTTATTGTTTACTTTATTCATTTGTATACTTAGATTAGCCATTTTTATATTTTACTTGTTTTTACATTACTGTATTTTTGCACAACTCTGTTGCTGTGAAGCTCGCACACAAGAATTTCACTCGCATGTACTGTACCAGTGTACCTGCACATGTGACGTGACAATAAAAGTGATTTGATTTGATATTTCCATCTGGGCCACCAATGTATGCTGGCCGAGTAGTTGGAGGAATTCTGGAAGATGTGGTGAGGATAAAGGAAGTAGACAGCTATAATAAAACAGGTAATTTTGTATGGATTTCTTTATTTCCTCAGGTCAGAGTTGATCATCTATCTTTCATTTGATGCCTAAGAGCCGCAGCAGCAGTTGCTGCTTGTGCTGTTACATCCTTCAGCTGTTGCATCAACACACGTTGGGTTTGTCAGTCTGAAACGGTCCATTTCTCCTCAGTAGCTCATTTTCCAGATGAAATAAAGGAAACTAAATCCACGGCTCAGCACTGAACGGGACGCTCCTGCAGAGCTCGGGCACAGCTCTGAGTTTGGTTGAATAAAATCAAACCTCCTGATAGATAACTGGTTGCTTCTGCAGCAGACGCGGCGCGGACACGAGGAAAGCCGTTACGACTGAAGGGATGCCAGATGTTTCCTGTCCGAGCAAATGAACCTCGAGCTCTCGGATTCTAGCAGATCCCGAGTCTCCATTCATAAAAGCTCAATCATGAGAAAGTAAAGCAAGTAGGACGGGCAAAGACAGACGAATTATGTCTCTCTCTCACACACACACACACACACACACACACACACTCACACACACACACTCACACACACACACACACACACACACACACACACACTCACACACACACACACACACACACACACTCACACACACACACTCACACACGCGCACTCACACACACGCACTCACACACACACACACACACACACACACTCACACACACACACTCACACGCACACACACACACGCACACACACACACACACACACACACGCACTCACACACACGCACTCACACACACACTCACACACACACACACACACACACACACACACACGCACACTCACGCACACACACACACACTCACACACACACACACACACACACACACACACACACTCACACACACTCACACACACACACTCGCACTCACACACACGCACTCACACACACGCACTCACACACACACACACACTCACACACACGCACGCACACACACACACGCACACACTCACACACACACACACACACACACACACACACACACACACACACACACACACACACACACACACACACACACACACACTCACACACACTCACACACACACACTCGCACTCACACACACGCACTCACACGCACACACACACACACACGCACACACTCACACACACACACTACTCACCACCATGTTGTAAGCTTCGGGGACGTCTATTTCGAACTGAAACTTTCCACTTTGGTAGTAACCTTCATCTGTGAAAACACACGTTTACGTTACGAGACAGAAACCGTCCTCTTCACAAACCTTCCCCTGGACTCAGGAGCAGGAGCAGAATTCATTATTAGACCAATAAAGAGTCACATTAAACAAATGATTCTGTTTGGTTTATTTTGGATCTATTTAGACAGGTCGTCTGCACGCTAACGGCACCGTTAGCGTAAACTTCTGCAGCCTCGCTGTCTCCTAAAGCCTGGCAGCAGCTGCTGGGGGTTAGCAGGTAAAGGCTGGGGCTGACAGCGACGGCGCCTCCGCTGAGCTCACGGGTCGGCTCTCACTGAGGACTCCTAACTGAGCCTGAATCTCACAGTAAGGGGAGAGACTTGGTAACTAGTCAGTTCATGATGTTACCGTGCATGTGCACGTGAACACGTAACGAGCTGAAGCCTGGGAACTCGGCGTCTGTCAGGCAAACCTTGTCTGGAAGTCTCCGTCCCTTATACGACCCCGGACTGAAGACACCTGTGATGCTGATTACAGAACACACACCTGAGTTGACCGCGTGCGTCCACGGGCTTGACATTATTATTCTGAGGCTGTTTTACAGGTCGCTGATGCACAACACACACACTCAGGTGCAGTTTGACAGGAGATGTATGAAAAGCTAATGAGTGGATGGATGGGTGCAGAGGGGCGAGAGGAAACTTCAGCGAAGCGCAAACAGGAAACACAACTGCTACAGCGAGAGGTCCTGAATCATTTATGGTGGTCTTCAGCACATGGGGGGCAATCGTTCTCCGTTCTGCTAAAAAAATAAAGAAGACAGCACCAGACAGACGCTTTCTTTTACGTTTAACACTAAATAGTCCAGGTGAAGAAACTAGAAAACCTAAAACAGACGTATTCTAGTATTTTCTGTCGCAGAGAGAGCTCCGAATCCCGGATCAGAATCGGACAACCAGGAGTTTCCCAGAAGAAGCGAGACAATGTGGAGCCAGTCTCCCGGGTCTACTTACAGCAAGTGTGCATTCTGGTAAAAGTTGCTGCCTCATGCTCATTTCTGCTGACCTGCGCGCTGCCTTGAACCCGCTCATCGATACTCGGAGAGACTCAGAAACATGCGGGCTAAATACAAACACAAAGGCAGCGCGGGGAGGACCTCATCCATCATCCTCGGGTACAGGAAGCGTTCCCACACCACATTTGTTTATCACACCTTCCCTCTAGTTGCCTGTATTTCAGATGTCATGTTGTTAGAGCAGGTCTCCAGCTGAAAGTCTCCCACCGTGAAGCTGCTTCTGAACACGCTCATGTGTGGAAAAAGGTTCATGACGGCGTCATATGGCACTAAAGTGTACAGGAGCTGGTTTATCCGTCTCCTTTTGGCTTTGTAAACAAAAATAAATGATCCTGGCATAAATGATGCAAGCAGAAACTCAGAATTGTAACCTTCTCTTTCTTTATTCCCACTTATAGAGTAATGGTGAACATTTGTCTTTAATCTGCATGATTTTCTATCATCTTAATGAACTTACTGGCCTCCGTGTTTGGGGTAACGTCTACATTTAGCCAGCTGTGCTGCAAATACAGCCATGATGATAATAAAAGCTCCACCGAGTGGAGGGCTGAACAACGCCAGTGAAGCTCTCGGAGAGTCAAACCTCACAACGACACGATGTCACAGAGACGCCAGCTGTGTCTGTTAGCTCCATCCAGCTGCTCGTAGACGATTCGGATGATGATTGCGCTGAAATGAAATAATGATCACCGGCTGATTATGTGCCAATTATGACAGCCCGGGCGCTACACGAATAATGCTGAGCTGGAGTCGCTCCCGTGAGAAACGCAAACGACAACAAGAACCAAAGAAAACGAATGTTAGCAAAAGGAAAAAGAGGAAGATGTGAGACGGGCTCACGTAGCCGCCAGCGTACGCCTGAGATGATGTCACACAACATGACACTAGACAGCCCTGGGCCTGAGGCGAGCTTCCGTTGCAGGAAAACACAACTCTAATAGGAAGACTCAACAGAATAAGGTTTTTTGTATTTATTTGTTACACGTATCTGATACTCTGATATAAGAAATGACAAAAGGAGAAGGAGCATGAGACGTGCACGGTGGGGGTGGGAGTGCTGCGTCAGGAGAGACGGTGCCTTAAATAATTAAGCGAGTCATTCTATGAAAGCTCGATTTCCATATAAACTCCTAAAGGAACGCAGCAACCGCCGGTTCTGTCAGACCGCTGATCGTTGCTTTCTCTGCAGATAATGCTCTCTCTCACACACACACACACACACACACACACACACACACACACACACACACACACACACACACACACACACCTGTACGACTGCTACACGTTGGCAGATCACTGACACATTTAAATCTTTCATCATCTTAGACCGCTCACCTCTAGCGGCTCTTAGAGCAGCACCACAGAGTTTTTACCAGTTTAAGCTCTTGCTTTAAAACTGGTTTCCGTGGTTCTTGAGCCATGAACTCTGGGCAGCACTCTGCTGACTAGAAACCACACTTAACAGATTTGTGGGAGGGGTAGGTTCCTATGGGTTAACTAGGTGGAGCTCTCTACCTGCTTTACTGTGCCGATAGCTAATATAGGAGCTAGCATCCATCCATCCATCTTCTGAACCCGCTTGTCCACGCAGGGTCGCGGGGGGGCTGGTGCCTATCTCCAGCGGTCAACGGGCAAACAGGCGGGGTACACCCTGGGCAGGTTGCCAGTCCATCGCAGGGCAACACAGAGACACACAGGACAAACAATCATGCACACACACTCACACTCACACCTAGGGACAATTTAGACAGACCAATCAACCTAACTCATGTTTTTGGACTGTGGGAGGAACCCGGTGAGAACCCACGCATGCACAGAGAGAACATGCTAACTCCATGCAGAAAGATCCCAGGCTGGGAAGCGAACCCAGGACCTTCTCGCTGCAAGGCAGCAGCTCTAACCACTGCGCCACCGTGCAGCCCTATAGGAGCTAGCAGTTAGCATTTTCATTTAGCCAAGCATTAATAAAAAGCACAATGGTGGAGCTTGGATATAAAAAATGGTAAAGGTGTGCCTTTTAGGGTTCTACAACCCCCCAAGGTGCTTCACAACATAATCAGTTATTCACTCATTCACACACATTCACACGCTGATGATGAGCTACGATGTAGCCACAGCTGCCCTAGAGTGCACTGACGAAGGCAAGACTGCAGAGGCGAAGCAAAGAGCTAAAACCAGAGTGAACAATGGCACGGCTTATGCTAATCTGAAGGAGCTAAAGGAGGCTACAAAAATCATGGACTGATGATGACCTGGCTTTGTTGCTACTGGACTTGTAAGTAATAATAGTTTTTCCAACAGTGTAGATCTTTTTCATTTGTGGCATTAGCTTGTTGTTAGCGCTAGCTACAGCAGGCTTCTGCAGGCTTGTTCACGACAGTTGTAATTACACCTTACACCAGTGGGGAGGAGGATCAGGAAACTCACTTTAAAGACATTTGTGACTAAATAAGAATATTACTAACATGACTGATCCTGTCTGGCCCATGTTTGTAAAAAAGGGTTTCCAGCATTTTATTTGTAATTTTACACCAAAAACATCATTTTTTATAATCATATTATTTACCATATCAGCATCTTTTTATCGCTAATTTCACGAGTAAAAGAAAAACTAATGAAAAGCTTGTGATTGACAGGAAACGGACAGGAAGAGACGGGTCAGGCAGCCTCTACAGACTCCTGTGATTACACACCAGTGAGTTCGTGCTGCACAAAACCCGACCGGTAACCCGTTTGGATCAGAGCTCTGCTGTACACGAGGAACGGACTGAAGAAGCCATGTTAAATGAATTTTGATAAAGCACCTTATGGAGTCCTGGAACCGCCCAAGGCGCTTTACAGCACAGTCAGTCATTCACCCATTCACACAAGTGATCAAAGTGCAGCCTTGGCGTGGAAAACAAAATGGTCTGAAAGCGTCCTAAACAATATCAAAGACCTCTATTGCTGCTGACCCTCCTGATTTACTGTTAAAAGCCCAAAATGTTCACTGAAACGTCAGGAAATAAATGAGTTTACACGTTATTTTTTATAAATTACGAGCTGTTCTCTTACCAGGAGACACTGCCAGCTGGAAGTGATGCAGCTTGTTCTCATCTGGAAAGCTGGCTTTGCATGTGCCTGCACACACAACAGGAAATTCCTAAGTTGCCTTGAGGTGTCCCTGTGGCACCACATTCCCCCCTGGTGTTTGAAGACAGTTACTGCATGCAGAATCAATCATTTCCCTCTGCATCCTGTGGGGAGGTGGTGTTGTAATTTCACTCAACGATGCAGCGGCGAGCCAGAAGGTTTATTAAACTGAGTTTATGAACCCTGAGAGAGAAAACATGCCCGTCTTTGTTCAAGTGAACTGCAGCTGAAAGGTTTCTTATACCAGTCACGGGCTCTTTCAGTAAGACTAATGTTCTTACCTGCCAGCAGACATGTATGTAAAACTGTCTCCGTGCCTCGTAGAAGAAGCCCTTTTTCTAATTAATCAACCGTGGCACAAGGAATGGACGGCATTTTGATGTTCAGCTGAAACTGTTCTGTTTATTTTCAGGTTGTTCAGTAAAATCTTCATGGGAGCTCAGTTACTACGTCACCACGGCAACGGACCAATAATAGACTGAGACTCCACTCTTACATGAAGAAATTAAAATAAGAAAGCAGAAGATGGCAAATATCAAAGATATGAACAGAAACAGAAGTAAACACTTCATTTTTACAAAAACACCCACCAGGTCGGCTCTGAACACACCTGGACACACCTGGACATCCCAAATAATGAATAAGTCCTCGCTCTTGAAAACCTGAGTGCAGGTTTGTGTTTTTATTGAAAAACACACCTGTGACTCGCATCGTTGTCAGCCTTGGATGCACCTGTGACTTAAAGGGAAGATGGGTATTTGCCCTGGTGATGGGGGGGGGGGGGGGGGGGGGGTGTTAGCGCGCCAGACTCTGCACTCCGTCAATCAAACGGAAGCGTGATGTTTTTTTAACAAATCAAATACAGCTCTTCGCCCATTTGGCCAATCGGGTGGGTTCTCATAGGTCAGACGCCCGGCCCGAGGTGAACGCTTCTTAATTAAGACGGTTAGCAAACACCTGAGTTAGCTTAGTTCTGATTCAGCTTTTCCCGGGATCCACTGATTCATTTCCTTTTCCCTTTCCTCACATGTTTGGCTTTTTTCATTTTTATGATTTTTTTTGTCATATTTTTATTTCTTTGTTTTTGGTTATTTTTGTTCCAGAGTTAAGTTTCTATTTATCACAAGTAATATCAAAGTCGCAGGTCGATGATAGACTTTGTAGTCGTGTCATCTGACCTGCGGCCGTATGTTTTGGACACCCGAGTGAAGAGAGGAGCGGAGCTGTCAGCTGATCACCACCTGGTGGTGAGTTGGATCAGATGGCAGGGGAAGATGCCACGTAGACCTGGCAGACCCAAACGCATAGTGAGGCTCTGCTGGGAACGCCTGGCAGAAGAACCTGTCAAGATGGTCTTCAACTCCCACCTCCGGCAGAGCTTTGACCGCGTCCCGAGAGCAGTGGGGGACATTGACTCCGGGTGGGCCTTGTTCCACTCTGCGATTGTTGAGGCGGCTGTTGCTAGCTGTGGTCACAAGGTGGCCGGTGCCAGTCGTGGTGGCAACCCCTGTACCCGCTGGTGGACACCAGAGGTTCAGTGAGCCGTCAGGCTGAAGGAGGCCTACGGGGCGCGGCTGGTCTGTGGGTCTCCGGAGGCAGCAGACAGGTACCGGATAGCCAAGCGGGGTTCACCAGTGGCAGTTGCCGAGGCTAAATATCGGGCGTGGGAGGAGTTTGGTGAGGCCATGGAGAAAGACTATCGATCGGACTATCGAGTTTGGTGGCAGGAGAATCTCGTCTCTGCTTTTTGCAGATGATGTGGTCCTCCTAGCTTCATCCAGCTCTGACCTTCAGCTCTTGCTGGGTAGGTTCGCGGCCGAGTGTGAAGCGGCTGGGATGAGGATCAGCACCTCCAAATCTGAGACCATGGTTCTCGACCGGAAAAGGGTGTAGAGCTCTGCACTGAAGCCCTAGGCCCGGGGGTCAGCCCGGCCCGACGGCCCAAGGGCCGGGCTTCAGGCCGACGACTGTGTAATTACCTCGGACACGGGCCAGGCCGGGCCGGGCGCCTTGATTTTTAATTGAATTCATTAAAAAAACTGAAACACTTGAACGCAGCAGCACCTGCCTGCTTCTCACGCACCGTTAGCTTAGTTAAGGTGTGTGTGGTTTATCAATGCGCCGATATAAACCAATTCTCAAACTGCTGATTGAAACATGTGCCCCTGTTCTCATACGCCATCTTATGTCCACTTTGATGTCAGAAACATTCGTTTATTCTCATGAAAACGGCAGCGTTCTATTTTTCTGTGAATAAATTCGCTCTGCAGTAAAAAATTACAGCATTCATTGCTGGTTTTTTCTAACTGGAGAGCGCATTTTCAGAGCGGCAGATTAAATTTACAAATGCATCCAATTAATATAGTGTTCGCAAATTTCGGAATATTGCTAAGATTAGAAGCATCCTTTCCAGGAGTGATGCTGAAAAACTAGTTCATGCATTTATTACATCAAGACTGGATTACTGTAATCCATTACTCTCAGGAAGTCCACAGAATGTAGTTAAAAGTCTTCAGCTTGTCCAAAATGCTGCAGCAAGAGTTCTGATGAGAATTAAAAAGAGAGATCATATCTCTCCTGTCTTAGCTTCCCTACATTGGCTACCTGTTAAATTCAGAATAGATTTTAAGATCCTTCTTCTCACATATAAAGCTCTTAATAATCAAGCTCCATCATACATCAGTGATCTGATTGTTCCATACGTTCCTAACCGAGCACTTCGCTCTCAGACTGCAGGTCTACTGGTGGTTCCAAGAATATCTAAACTTAGGATGAGAGGCAGATCTTTTAGTTATCAGGCTCCTCTCCTGTGGAACCAGCTCCCAGCTTTAGTCCGTGAGGCAGACACTTTGTCTACTTTTAAGAATAGGCTTAAAACATTTTTATTTGATAGGGCCTATAGTTAAAATCTGATGTTAGCCTAAATCTGGACAAGTGGGGGAGTAGAGGGAGGTGGAGTGTACAGTCGGTAAAGACGACTCTCCCCTGCCCTGCCTCCAACATGCCTCCATCTAAATAGGATAGATTATCCTGAGTTATCTCTGTAGTTATGCTGCTATAGGCTTAGACTGCTGGAGGACACACTGACCACTTTTTACACTCTACTACTTTCTTCTACAATCTGCTCTTTAACTGTATTATTTCCTGCTATTTCAGCTGTTAACTTTATTTTCTCTGTAAGTTTTTTTCTCCCCAGAAGAAGCTACAATGATGTTCTGCTGAGCTGTGGTGGCCTCATGGAGGGGGCCATCGACTAGCACACTGCTGCTAACCACTAAAACATTCTTCCTCTCCTGATAATAACTTTTTGCATTCCTTGACGTTGGATGTGCTACTACTAGTTTATCCATTTAATTATAGATTCACTAGGATAAATACTATAAAGTTTATCTCTCACCAAATAGAATATTTACTAAGACATCACAATATAACTATAGACACATTACTTGTGTGTGTGTGTGTGTGTGTGTGTGTGTGTGTGTGTGTGTGTGTGTGTGTGTGTGTGTGTGTGTGTGTGTGTGTGTGTGTGTGTGTGTGTGTGTGTGTGTGTGTGTGTGTGTGTGTGTGTGTGTGTCTGCTCTGTCTTCTCGATCCCCAGTGAGTCGTGGAGGATGGCTGCTTATACTGAGCCAGGATTCTCTGGAGGTTTCTTCCTGTTAAAAGGGAGTTTTCCTCTCCACTGTCGCTGCATGCTTGCTTAGTATGAGGATTGCTGTATAGTCACTGACACCAGTCAGTGACTTGATGCAATTTGCTGGGTTCCTTATATAGGAAACATTATTTCTGATTGGCTTAATGAACTGACCTGAATTGAAATGTTTATTATGTGAAGTGCCTTGAGACGACTCTTGTCGTAATTTGGCGCTATATAAATAAACTTGAATTTAATTGATCTGCCGCTCGAAAAATACGCTCTGTTAGAAAAAAAAAGCTGCATTGATGCTGCTTTTCTTTCTTTTTTTTTTTTTTTACTGCAGAACGCTTCTCACAGATAATTAGAACGCTGAGCGTCCTATCACGCTAAACATTATGAAAGATTAAAAAAAAAAGTCTGGCTCGGGTCCGGCTGGGGCTCAGATTTGAGGCCCGTGCAGGGCTCTAAAAGGATGGCTTGCCAACTCCGGGTCGGGGGAGAGGTCCTACCTCAAGTGGAGGAGTTTAAGTATCTCGGGGTCTTGTTCACGAGTGAGGGTAGGAGGGATCGGGAGATCGACAGGCGGATTGGTTCGGCGTCTGCAGTGATGCGGACGCTGAGCCGATCTGTCGTGGGGAAGAGGGAGCTGAGCCAGAAAGCCAGGCTCTCGATTTACCGGTCGATCTACGTCCCAATCCTCACCTGTGGTCATGAGCTTTGGGTAGTGACCGAAAGAATGAGATCGCGGATACAAGCGGCCGAAATGAGTTTCCTCCGTAGGGTGGCCGGGCTCAGCCTTAGAGATAGGGTGAGGAGCTCGGACATTCGGGAGGGACTCGGAGTAGAACCGCTGCTCCTCCGGATCGAAAGGAGTCAGTTGAGGTGGTTTGGGCATCTGGTCAGGATGCCTCCTGGACGCCTCCCCGGGGAGGTGTTTCAGGCATGTCCTGCCGGCAGGAGGCCCCCGGGTCAACCCAGGACACGCTGGAGAGGTTACATCTCCAATCTGGTCCGGGAACGCCTTGGGGTCCTGCCGGAGGAGCTGGTGGAGGTGGCCGGGGTGAGGACGGTCTGGAGCTCCCTAGCTGGGATGCTGCCCCCGCGACCCGGACCCGGATAAGCGGAGGAAGACGACGAGGTGTAATATCGTCATCGCAATATTAATCACTGTTGTAGCATATCGCAGGTTTCCCTAGTATCGTGCAGCTCTAGTGAACGGCTGTTTTGTAACAAACCAGTAAATGTGTTTTGTCCTCATGGGCTCCTGTAGAAAGAAACATGGCATCTAATATGGCATCGCCCAGCAACTCAGACCCGATTTTAATGGTTTTATGTTACAAAACCACCAATACTTTTCAACAACTTGGCATCATTTCATTCATAACATCGTGATGGATATTTCCAGAGATTAACGGTAAAAATTACACATCGTCTCTTTCAGGAATACTATTTTCCTCCCGTTTCTGTGCTTCTGTCAGATAGAGAAGCTTTACTGGGCAAATAAAATAAACTAACAATTATGGCCATAAAAACGTCCAACTTTCACTACAATGAATCCATCCGGCAGCCGGTGCCGTTTACTGATTATTTGTCTGGTTTCCATGGTTCCCACACACAAAACCACAGCAGAACAACTGGACCCCTGAGTAATAAAGGCATTAAACCTAAAGCCAGAAATAAAACGAGCATTAAACCCCTCGAGACCCAAAATAAAACATATGTGGTAAAACATCATTCTGGGATTTTAAAAAGCTATTTTAGTTCTAAAATATAAAACACAAAAACTCTAAATATTCAGAATATTTAATAAAAATGCATTTAATTGTCTTCATTTCCCACATTTACTGCTGAATCTGATCTGAGAATCAGGAATTAAATGAATTACCGCTAAACCATCAGGAATTAACTAAATAAAGAACACGAAGCACTTCCTCCACGTTCCAAGGCTTAGCTATAACAGATGTTTTAATTCCGCTCCGTTCGCCTAAAGGAGGAGGTGGAGTTGGGTAAAAGGAAGCCGTGGGAATGGAAATGTAAGGAACACTTACTAGGAAGATTGGCTTCAAGTTCTGCAACTTCTGTTGAGACAAAAACAGAAAAATGAGTCAGAATAAAGCAGAAAAGCAGGTAAACACTGAGAAGGTGTTGTTTAGAACGGCGGGTCGCGAACCGTGTCTGATGTTTGCGGTCAGCGTGAAACAGGAAACGGCGTGGTGAGACGAGGGTTTTGGTTTCTGAAGTATTCTGAATCCTATTGTTTCTAAACCGCTTCGACTCGGAGAGATTTCTCCGTTAGAAGCCCGGTTCCACTGGGTGGTTTGGGGATTGTTCCGGCTCGATTAGAAATGTCTGTTCCTGTTCGTATAAATGCAACAACGCAGCCAATTAGAAGCGGGGAAACCTCGGTGGAGTTTTTATGGGTTTTTATTCACCTGCACAATAAATTCTGTAGGAAGCTTCAGCTAATTAGCAACTTCCAATCAGAGAAGACTGAGACAAACCATCAGCTAACAGAATGAACTGAATAGCACGAAGGCCGGAGTGAGAAAAAAGTCTTAATGGGTGCGAGCACAAAGAAACTAATGATTGTACTTTCCTTCGTCAGACAAAGACACAAGAAGCTTGTCTCTGATTGGCTAACAGCAACACGACTACCACTGACTGTCTGCTCTGCAACGCTGATGATTTATCTCCACCAATAACACAAGCCTGGAGGAGTTCTGCTGTGTGGTGGAGTTGCTAATGCTAACGGTTAGCTTCTACTAACCGAGACGTTCTCTGCTGTTTCCTGGACTAAACCAACAACAGCCTTCCCCGTCGTGAGTCCAGATGGGTGAGTCCATGAATGTTAGTGACAGTGTGACGTAAATCTGTCAGGATTTTCTAGAGTTTCACCATCTGTTTTCTATCAGAAGCTAATGCAGGAGGTAGGTGTAGGAGACTATTTTCATGTTCAGCCTGCATGAAAAACTCATTACTATTAGAATCAGAGACAATCATTAGTAATGGTTCAGTGTTCCACGCCTACAAATCCTTCAGAGTGGAACGAGACGATAAGGAGATACTGGTACCTTTGGTCAGGAGGCGGTCCCTGATGGAGACCCTGTGGGTGGAGTCTGAGGCTCCAGAGGCACGGCTTGCTTTCCCTCCATCCTCCTTCTTCAACTTGCTAGCCAATGTAAGCATGGCTACGCTGCTGAGACACGCCTCTCTCTGCCCCGAGCCTCACCGCCTGTCCAACGTCTGCCAGTGACACAGATCCACATCTTCATTTTATCAGAATAGATAAACAAACAAACAGAGAAACAACAAAGTGTCTGTTTGTATGTGAGAAAGTTGGTTTGAATGTTCCGCTCAGAGCCGGCCGGGAGGGAACAGAGGTGTGAGAAAACGCTGAATAAGAGCCGCTTCGCTTTGAAACTAATCTGCTGAAAGTTTCCACCAAGAGGAGTGATTGTGTCTGTGACTCATCGTGTTGGTCACCAGCATCAAAGAGCACCTGGAGTGGGAATAAATGCATAAACTCAGATTACACTAAACAGGTGGAGCGGCTCGGTCTAATGCAGAATCAGACGTTTCCTGTTCAACGGTGTCATGTTTTCTATTTGATGTTTAAACAAGAAAAACTGAAAACACTTCAGAAGGAAAAACAATGCAGTGATTATTTTGGACATTTTTCTCTCTGAGTCTCTAAAGTGTTACCAGCTGGTTTTCAACTTTTTAGTCCAAACCACCAAAACAGTCCTTGGGTGTGACTCAGCGACACGCTGCTGTGACGTTTTAAACCGAACTGTAATCCTGTTGAAGTCAGACAGGGTTTCTGACACCACAACATGATGACTTCAGCAAACAAAGATGAACTTTATGTTTCACTTATGATGCCATAGCAAAGTCAAGCCCCCTGAGCCTCATCAGGAAAGGTCACGGCTAGTCTCTGGATGTAAACAAACAAATGGGTCCATTTGTGCTTTCAGATGAGTGGAAAACAAAACTAAAATGTTTGGGACAATTTGAGCCAAAGCAAGAAAAGTTGGAGCCAAGTTTGCTTTAGGCCCAAATATCATTTATAATCTTTATATTATAACTGATGTCCTGACTCCACCTGTATTAGTGCAACAAACCCAGGTAAAAAGAGGTTTCCTGTAACGTCTCCACTCTGTAAAACCCAGTTTGTGCACTGGGTGAGCTCACTCAGAGGGGGAGTGATGGTGTCGTGTGTCGCCGAGCCCGACTCGACACACACCTGCCCCAGCTGTCAGTCACCTCATATGTCTGTACGGCAACATCATCACAGCAGAGCTCACAAAGTCAGCGGCAAAACAAACGCAACAACACTTTAATCGCCGCACTACGGTAGTGCTTGTACACCAAACTTTTAACAAGGTCTTGTACAATAGATGTTTTGTTTTTAGAAAACCTGAAAGACTCTTTAGGCTTTCCCTTAAACCTACCCAACAATCTTTTCTTTGTATCATTTCAAGCCACTTTCACCTGTACGTTTAATAAAAGTGATGAAGTAAGAAAGATGCATCTGTTTGTTAACCTATCAATCACAGACCTCGTTATAAATGGTCTCAAGATATTGTCGCCCAGAGGTCAATCAAAGGGAAAAGAAAGACAGGCAGCCCTAATCAGATAATACCTAAAAGAGTCTTAACATTCAACGAAGTGTCATGCAGTTCTAGTTTTATGCTTCAATAAATAAATACATATATATACACACACACTCAATTTAGAGCTTGAGTCTGAGCATAACATCAGCGGGGAGTACTCATTATTTATGAAAATAAATTGTTTTGTCAAAGAAAAAGTCTGAAGACTAATTTTCTAAAGTATAAGGTGAACTTCTCTGTCTATTTTGCTCTGGATGCTTGATCATTAGTATACTAATTTATTTCCATAAAAACTGATCATAAAGCTAAAAATAGTGCATGCCATTTGTTTTGTCCTTATTTTTCAGGCCTGTTTGTGGTCAGACGTCTGACCTGCTACAGCTTTAACAGTGAGTCTAGCCTATTAATCACAAATTAATGCTCACTTCCCTCATTTCGTCTCATCTAGGTGGCCTGCCTTTCACACACGAATCCAGTCAACGTGACAACAGAGGAATCCTAACAAACAACCCAAGTCTTCTTAAAGGCGCTGAAACCAGCTGATTTAGAGCGACAACTTAAGATTTCACCTTCTTCCTCCTCCTCTTTGGTCGGGTTACCATAACAACACCTCGCTAATGTTGCTAATAAAAGCTACGTAGACGTTTCCAGACAGATCGCTCAACACCAGGTTTCTGCTCACAAGCACAAATGACACGGCTCCTTTCTGACGGCTGAACTTTTCACACCAGGAGCCGCTTGTGTGTTCTTTGTGTGTTACCTTCTGTCTCCCAGCTAGCTCTTCGTGCTAAACCATAATCAGCGGCTCTGCGAGCTCAAGCTGCCGCCAGCAGCACCACACCTGGCGGGTAGCAGACGCGTCCTCCTCTCAAAGGATCCAAAACTAGTTATTACCGATTCTACAACAGACTGGGAACTGATTTGGGAATCAGCTGACAGAAACTTCGCTCCGGTGGCAAACGGAAGCGCAATGGAGCAGTGCCCTGTTATTTGCTTCCGTGTGGACACACGGTAATGATAAATAGTTCCGCGCTGCTTGGTGGACGGTTATAAACATTTTAATAACCGTTAATATTATAATTATCATTAGTATTATTGTTATTGTTACTATTACTAATACTACTTATAATAATAATAATAATTTTTATTTTATTATTATTTTTATAATGATGATGAAGATAATAATAATTGTTATTGTTAGTAGTAGTAGTAGTAGTAGTAGTAGTAGTAGTAGTAGTAGTAGTAGTAGTATTTGTAATGATGTGGTTGGAGGAAAATGTCCACCTTTACAAATAATTATGAACCTGTAAAGATTTAATATTTCATTGTGATTATTGACCCAGTGAGAGTTGGACTCTGCCAGTTCATCCAGTTAAAATCCTTTACCTCAGAACCCTCCCCAGTCAAGTCAGGTGTGCCCCAGGGCTCTGTCCTGGGGCCCCTCCTCTTCATAGTATATCTCCTCCCTATCGGCAAAATCTTCCGCAAATTCAATATCCAGTTTCACTGCTTTGCAGATGACACCCAGCTCTACATTTCCAGTAAGCCCAACTCAACTCTCCCTCCATCCTCCCTTACACTCTGCCTCTCTGAAATCAAATCATGGTTCACCTCTAATTTCCTCAAACTCAACGGCAATAAAACTGAACTTCTTCTTGTTGGCACTAACTCCACCCCCTCAACATCTGACAGCTTTTCTTTAACTATTGACAGCGCCACAGTCTCCCCCTCACCTCACGTCAAGAGTCTGGGTGTCATTCTCGACAGCTCACTTTCTTTTCAGGCTCACATTAATAACATAATTCGGTCAGCATACTTCCATCTACGTTCCATAAACCGTCTCCGTCCCTCACTGACCCCTCACACTGCCGCCATTCTCGTCCACAGCCTCGTCACCTCCCGTATCGACTATTGCAATTCACTTCTTTATGGTCTTCCCAACAAACTCCTTCATAAACTTCAACTGGTCCAGAATTCAGCAGCCCGTATTATCACCAGAACCCCTTCCTTTCACCACATCACGCCGGTTCTCCAGCAGCTTCACTGGCTCCCAGTTAAATTCAGGTCCATCTTCAAAATTCTCCTCCATACCTTCAAAGCAATCCACAACCTCTCTCCTCCATATATCTCAGACCTTATAAGTATTCACACCCCGTCCCGTTCACTCAGGTCTTCTTCTTCCATCCATCTTGTGGTTCCTTCTGCCCGTCTCGCTACCATGGGGAGCAGAGCTTTCAGCCGCTCTGCTCCTCGACTCTGGAACTCACTTCCCCCAGACATCAGGAACGTCGACAGTTTTACCCTTTTCAAAACAAAACTCAAAACACACATGTTTAAATCTGCCTACAACCTCTGATTTTATTGAAATGTTTCTCTCTGTTTTTTTCTTCTTTGGGTTTTATTATTGTTTTATTGTATTTTATTACATGTTTTGTGTAAAGTGACCTTGGGTGTCCTGAAAGGCGCTTTTAAATAAAATGTATTATTATTATTATTATTATAAGGCTGCCCTTTGTCACCGATTCTGTTCATAACCTTTATGGACAGGATTTCTAGATGTAGCCAAGGTGAGGAGGGCATCCGTTTTGGTGGCCTGAGGATCAGGTCTGTTTTTTGCAGATGATGTGAGAGAGAGGATTATAAGACACCTTTCGTCAAACATTTTGACAGGTCTATTGTTCTTTGACCTTTCATTCCTATTGTTCATTTGACCCTTGACCTTGCCCCCCCTTCCTATCATTAATCAAATGGACAGGTGTATTGTTCAATCTTTGCCCCCCCTTCCGTATCATTAATCAAATGGACATGTGTATTGTTGATCGTCCAGATGGTTTAGACCCCCCACGCCGCATCATCAATGGCGTATTGTTGAACGTGTCCAGATGGTCTAGACCCCCCACGCCGCATCATCAATGGCGTATTGTTGAGCGTCCATGATATCCCACGTCATAGGCTAATGTGTGTAATGGTGTGTGGTTTCTTTTTTGTGATAGCCCATCGGTTCCCACAGCCCCTCCCTTCTGAGTGTAATCCTATTGTGTTTAACTCTTTAAAAGCTCAGATCTGTCCGAATGGTGAAAAGCCGAGCTCTAAGAAAAAAATGGCTCACTGACAGTGGATGAGTGCGGCCTAACTGTTGTGAATGACAGCCCCACACACTGTCAAGTACCTATGAAATGGTTGTACGTTTCCTCAAAGTTAAAGAATCTGTTTTTGTAGTAGCAGACAAGATGGTATGGTCTGCTAGCTCTTGAGTGAGTGGCAGAAGCTGAAGTCAATGCATGAACTTTTGCAGCCTTTTGCTGAACACACACAAACTCTTCAGAGTGACACATTTGTCTATGTCATTAATACTCTCTTTGAGATGTTCACGTTGGATTTCGTATGTTCAGTCTTAAATTTTGTGTTTAAATGTGTTATTTACATGCAGCTCACTGACACTTTTTGACCAGAACTAAAACTATTGTGTAAAACTCTCTGTCCAGCAGCACATCAAATTAATGGCTGTAAGCACACACACACACACACACACACACACACACACACACACACACACACACACACACACACACACACACACACACACACACACACACACACACACACACACACACACACACACACACACACACTTCTCTAAGAAGTAAAAGGATTACATTCAAACATTTCTATCACTTCACAAAAGCAATGGTTTACCATCCTAAACCATTTATGGTCCTGTTGTAAACCACCATGCATTCTCAAGCCTATAAGAACAAAAGTTGATCCTTACCTCAGCGTGAATGAAATGGCTGTACGTTTCCTCAAAGTTAAAGAATCTGTTTTTGTAGTAGCAGACAAGATGGTATGGTCTGCTAGCTCTTGAGTGAGTGGCAGAAGCTGAAGTCAATGCATGAACTTTTGCAGCCTTTTGCTGAACACACACAAACTCTTCAGAGTGACACATTTGTCTATGTCATTAATACTCTCTTTGAGATGTTCACGTTGGATTTCGTATGTTCAGTCTTAAACTTTGTGTTTAAATGTGTTATTTACATGCAGCTCACTGACACTTTTTGACCAGAACTAAAACTATTGTGTAAAACTCTCTGTCCAGCAGCACATCAAATTAATGGTTGTAAGCACACACACACACACACACACACACACACACACACACACACACACACACACACACACACACACACACACACACACACACACACACATACACACACACACACACACACACACACACACACACACACACACACACACACACACACACACGCACACACACACTTCTCTAAGAAGTAAAGGGATTACATTCAAACATTTGTCTTTGACTAAACCATTCAAACATTTCTATCACTTCACAAAAGCAATGGTTTACCATCCTAAACCATTTAAGGTACTGTTGTAAACCAGCCTGCATACTCAAGCCTATAAGAACAAAAGTTGATCCTTACCTCAGCGTGATGCTTTTTAAGATCTGTTGAGCTTTCTTAAAGTTCATTCTAAACAATTTTGCACGGCCAGCGACTTCTGACAAAGCAAATGACTTCCTTTTTGTTCTGCAGGTGGCGGTAAGTTTTAAAACAAAGATCTGGCTGAACCAAATCGTCACAGAAACAACACACAAAAAGCAAATTACTTTTTTTTTTGCAGGTGGGCTGAATTGAAAGAGTGGCGGGAAAGTTTTAAAACAAAGTTCTGATTCATTCTAACCAAGTCGGCATGGTAACAATTCACAAAAGCAAATGACTTGCTATTGTTTCAAAGAGCTATTTAGGTGAAAGCTTAACCATCGCCTCCTGCCTTTAGAGTCACATTTTGTTTTCACTGTCACACACACACACACACACACACACACACACACACACACACACACACACACACACACACACACACACACACACACACACACACACACACACACACACATTGCTTCCTGCCTCAGAGAAAAGATTTGATCCATTTTGTAGGACCTATAACAGCTGAAATAAATAAAAAGCTGTTTTTGAGGTTTGTTTTTTGGGAGGGGTGGATTAGTAAAGTCTCAGAGCAGACGTACCTCTGGTCAAACCTTTAATGACATACCTCCCAGAATAGTTAAACTAAGGCACATGCATGCCGTAAACGGATTTACACACGAGTGAAAGAGCTGCTACATTTTAACCAAAACATGAGCGAAGAATAAGAATAAGAAGAAGAAGCGATGGATACGTGTTTTGAATATAGCCTTCCTCTGCTAAAAACAACGTTCGAATTGAGACATGATGAGATTTCAGGAAGAAATGTCCGGTATTATTTTTTGGATCGTAAAGGTTTTTTTATTTCTGCTCCAGGGAGTTTTGACGAAGCAATGGATACGAGCACACACACACACACACACACACACACACACACACACACACACACACACACTCACACTCACACACACACACACACACACACACACACACACACACACACACACACACACACACACACAACTCTAAACAACCATTCATACATTTGTCTACCTATACAACAAAGCAAATGACTCTGTATTGTTTATAAACATTTTTTTTCGACCAATCGCAACCGTTTTCTATTCATGATTTTTTTAAACAGCTGTATAAAATGTAAAAGCGCATTTTCGGAGTCGTGATTTGAGGTGTAACAAGCTAAGATGACGGGTAAGTTTTTAACTCAAGACGCAAATCTTTTTTTTTCTCTTTCTGGTTTAACATCTTTATTTTCAGACGCTATTGTCATATCGGACGGCGAGTGGGAAGAAATTCCTATTGAGGAATTAACTTGTAAAACTCCGGTACCGGTCCCCCTGGATGATTTGTCTAAAATTAATCGCGCGGTCGAGAATCTGAGTGAGTGGATTTTATAAATATATACGTAACGTTCTTTTCTTCAACTGAGAAATATCTCATTTTACAGAAAAGGAGGGGGTTCAACCTTACCCCGGAAGTGATAACTTTTACCCAACCACGCCTCCATCCACCAGCCGAACCGTCTTACATTCGTATCAGCCCAGCCATACCGTCAGATCACACGGGAATGCGAGCGTGAAAGCTGTTCGTTACAGGACCGTCACGCCGCAGACGATCCTCGAAGCTGGTAAGTGATTACAAAATAGCGATTAATAAGTCAGAGATGTGTCGTTCATATTTATCGTTTTTATTCTTCAGAGCAACGTCCGACGGCCTACGCACCCCCAATATCTCAGCCCCCACCACCTCCAGCCCCTTCTCATGCGCGGACGGATGGTAACGATAAAAAAACAACTGATTAATAAGTCAAAGATGACTCGTACACATTTACCGTTGTTTTTTTATCCTTTCAGAACAACATTCGACTGCCGCTTCAATATCTCCGCCCACACCTCCTCCATCTCCTCCTCCTCCTCCTCCTCCCCCTTCTCCTGCACAGGGTAAGAGATATATAAAAAGGTGGTTATTTACTTCAAAGATGATTCGTTCATATTTTTTCATTATTTTTATTCTTTCAGAACAATCCGACAGCGACTCTGAAACCGCTGAACGTGGTCCTGAGCAGCCAGCCGGTAAGCTGTTTCACAAAAAGCTCCGCATAGTATATTAAATTTGAAGTAAAAAAGATGTTTTTTATCCTTTCAGATGAAGAGGAAGAGAACGCACCACCTCCTGCACCTGTACAGAGTAAGTTAAATTTTATATATAATTTATTAAAAGCTCGTTCATTTTATTTATTTTTATTTATTTTTTTCATCAGAAAAACGACTGAAGAAAAAGAAAAACATCCGTCTTTCACCACTTCAGAGATTAAACAGGATGAAAATGGCCTACTTATTGCTGCAGGTCAACTCAGGCCTGGTCGAAGTGGTCCAACAAGTGCTGGCTCTGTAAAAGGAGGACGCAGATTTTTTTCTTCATTTTTAGTAGGTTATTAATGTCTTTTGTATCATGAGTGAAAATTGGTTTGACGACCTTTCAGATTTGATTGAAGTAGATGGTGAATTAAATGTAGATTTGTTAGATCGAATTTTAGCCAGCCAAAATCCCTCAGATGAGGCCGATAATTTGGTGTTAAATGACTGGTTTGATTTAAGCGGACTGAGTGAAGTAGATGAATTAGCTTCAGATAGTGAGATCTTAGCATCCCAAGCCGTTTCAAACGAGGTCGATCAAATTCTAGCAAATTCAGATTCGCCTTCATCAGAAGCAATAAACGAAATATTGAGACAAATAGAACACCAGCAGCACGTAAACGAGGTTGATCAAATTCTAGCAAATTCAGATTCGCCTTCATCAGAAGCAATAAACGAAATTTTGAGACAAATAGAACACCAGCAGCGCGTAAACGAGATCGATCAAATTCTAGCAAATTCAGATGAGCCTTCATCAGAAGCAATAAACGAAATATTGAGACAAATAGAACACCGGCAGATCGGAGGGAGCGTAAACGCAGCTTTTAACCAGCGTGAAATTAGAGAGAGAGTGTCTTTTCAAGCAATCAACGACCCAGCCGAGTTTTATATTAATCTGATGGAAATATTAAACAGGTTTGCTGAAAGAGGAAGCCAGATCGCGCGTCCCAACGATAGAGTCCAGTTTGAAATTAATACTTTACACACGACGCACCACGTTAATTTTAATTATGACGGATCAAATATGTTAAATCAGCTTCAGTATTTACTGGATCTGTTAGTCCAATCAAATGAAGCATTAGAGGCCGACAACGAATTTAATTTCAGACTGCAAGTGATAAATAACCCGTCCGGCGGCGGAAAACGAAAAATCGAAACCATTCTGGATCACGAATTAGTCAATAAAAAACGAAACCATCTCATTTGCCCTCCAGAGGCCAATCAGCCGTTGTGTTTTGCGCTAAGCATAGCCGGCCTGTTAAATCCCTCAGCGAGAGATACAGAATTATTGAATGTGGCTAAAAATATTCATCAACAGGCAGGGCTTCAGGAGCAATCAACCGTTTCATTTAGCGACGTGATTCAATTTGAAAATATTGTTCAAAGAAAAATAATCATTTTTTACAGATCCGACAGAATCATTTCTAAATTTGAAACAGATTTTAGCGATCGAACAAATCCGTTGTTCATTTTGCTACTCAATCAACATTATTACGGCATAAAAAATATTAAAGGTTTCTTAGGAGCCAAATATTTTTGTTCATGGTGCTTTTCCGCTTATAATAACATAAACGGACATCATTGTAAATGGTTCTGTCGCGTGTGTAATACCGATTTATGCAAACGAACAGAAACGTCTCTCATCACATGTTCTGATTGTAATCGAATATGCCAAAATGTAATATGTTTTCAAACTCACAAAACACCTGTTTTCAGGCCTCAAGCAAACAGGTTAGTTTCTCCTTGCGAAATGTTTAAAAAATGCACCATTTGTAAACAAACTTATTACATCGCCATGGGTGGAAATGGTTCACAGCACGTTTGCTCAGCGACCAAATGCATCGTTTGCAAACAGTCGGTGGTCACGGACGATCATCGCTGTTTTATTCAGCTTGAAAAAAAAGATGACGGTTTAACGGAAAAGGTTATTTATTACGACACTGAAACGTTTACGGATCAGAACGGTGTGCATACACCTTTTTTAATCTGTGCAAAATCCGATTCAGGCGACGTTTGGGAGAAATTTGGTTTAGATTGCATTAAAGATTTTATTATGCAGATGCGTCGTCCTAAATTCAGCAATTATACATTTGTTGCACACAATGCGCGTGGATTTGATGCTTATATAATTCTGAGCGCTATGTGTCAATTAAAAATTGTTCCCAAAAATATACTCATGCAAGGCTGTAAAATCCTGAGTTTTCACGATCCAGATTTCGGGTTGAGATTCATTGATTCCTTAAGTTTTCTCATGATGAAATTAGCCAACCTTCCAGCTGCTTTGGGCTTTACAGATAAAACTAAAGGTTATTTTCCTCACAGATTTTCATCGCTTGAACATCTGAATTATAAAGGACCTTACCCAGATGTCAGCCATTATGGGTTTGAACAAATGTCTCCGGAGCATAAAAAAATATTTTTAGAATGGTACACCGATGTGTCTAAACAGCAGCTGTTTGATTTCAGAAAGGAGGCCGTGTTTTATTGTAGAAACGATGTGGAAATTCTGCGTAAAGCATGCGGTATTTTCAGAGAGGAGTTTTTTAATGAAACAGGTATCGACCCGCTGAAATCTGTCACGATCGCTTCAGCTTGCATGCGCGTGTTTAGATCAAAATTCCTAAAACCAGACACATTGGCCATTCCTTGTCCGCTCGGTTATCGACCGCAACAAAAACCATTTTCAAGTTCAAGCATCGTGTGGTTGGAATGGGTTTCACACAGTCAAAATGTAGACATTCAACACGCTTTAACGCCTTTGGGGGAGTATAAAGTGGGAGATTTTTATCTCGACGGATATGCTGTGATTTCAGGCGTCGAACAAGGGTTTGAGTATATGGGTTGTTTTTTCCACGGCTGTCCAAAATGTTTCTTACAGTCATCCATATGTCCTCTGAGAAAAATCACTTTTGGTGAAATTTATGACAAAACCGTCGAAAAGCTTCAGTCGTTGGAAACTGTGCATCGATTAAAAATGAATGTCATTTGGGAACATGATTGGCAGGAGATGGTAAAAACTGATCCGGACGTGAAACAGTTTGTCTCAAGATTTGACCCCCCGCCCGCTCCTCTTTTACCTCGTGAAGCCCTGTATGGTGGCAGAACTTGTCCGGTTCGGCTGAGGCATTCTGCTCAGAGCGGTGAAAAAATCCACTATGTGGATTTTACGAGCCTGTACCCTTATGTAAATGCCACACAGGCTTACCCCATAGGCCATCCCAAAATTCATGTTAAAAATTTCAGAGATCCGAGTCACTATTTTGGCTTGATTAAAGCTGTCGTTTTGCCACCCAGAAAACTGTTTTTCCCTGTTCTGCCTTTTAAAACATCCAAAGGTAAACTCGTTTTTACACTGTGTCGCACATGCGCTGAAATGAATAATCAATCTGATTCTTGTTCACACAGCGCGTCTCAACGTGCTTTGACGGGCGTTTGGGTGAGTGTAGAGCTCAATTACGCTTTGGATTCAGGTTACAGTCTGGTGAAAATGATTGAAGTCTGGGATTTTGAGAAAAGCAGTAAAGATGTGTTCGCGGGTTACATTAACACGTTTTTGAAGCAGAAACAACAAGCGTCTGGTTTTCCTGAAGGATTGATTGATGATGAGTCGAAAAGAAAATACATTCAGGACTACCAACTTCGTCAGGGAATACTATTAGATGCGTCCAAGATTCAGCACAATCCTGCTAAGCGTGCCATTTCAAAATTATGTCTCAATTCACTCTGGGGAAAGTTTGGCCAAAGAGATGATCTTGTACAAACCACATTTGTTCAAAAACCTGATGAATTTTTTGACATTCTGTTTTCAGGGAGATACAATGTTAAATTCTTCAGTTTTCTCACTTCAGGAGCTGTTCTGGTGCAACACAGTTTGGCAGAAAAATGCCTAACGACTCCTGGCAGAAGCAACAACATTTTTATAGCTGCATTCACCACAACTTATGCCAGATTGAAATTATTAAATGCGTTGAACAAACTGGGAAATCGCGTCATTTATTACGATACAGATTCTATAATTTATTCTGTCAAAGAGAATGAGTGTGTTTTACCAACAGGACCGCTGCTGGGGGATCTAACTGACGAACTTGGAGGTGATTCCATCACGGAATTTTCATCAGCCGGTCCAAAAACGTATGCTTACAAAACCCGGGACCGCCAGCAGGTGGTGATAAAGGCTAAGGGTATCACACAGTCATTCATTTCATCTGATCACATCAATTTTGACAGCTTAGCGCTGCTGGTTGAGGGGTACGTGGCTGGAGAAAGGGGAAGATTTTTGCAAACTCAACAGGATGTCATCAAGAGGGATAAAAAAGGTCTCACTCTCGCGAATGTTTCATTTGTGAAAAGGTTTCGTGTGATTTTTGATAAGCGGAGGTTATTTGCTGACGGCTGTACAGAACCATTTGGGTATTAAAAATGGAAACTGATTTTGACGCTAGACTAAAGTCTCCATTCAGTGTACAAATTGCTGGTCCGTCAGGCTGTGGAAAAACCTTTTTTGTAAAAAGTATTTTGGAAAATTGTATGCAATGTTTAACTGAAATGCCAAAAAACATTGTGTGGTTTTTTACATCTTATCAACCTATGTATGATGATCTTTGTAATAAAAGTATTCGATTCGTTCAAGGTCTCCCGCTTTCATTCGAGGATGATGATTTATTTCCATCGGGTCAAAACCACTTGGTGATCTTGGATGACATGATGTCTCAAACGTCCAGCCATCCTGGAGTGCTAAAATTATTTACCCAGCTGAGACATCACAGAAATATGAGCGTCATTTTAATCACTCAAAATGTTTTTCATCAAGGAAAACATAGTCGTTCCATCAGCTTAAACACCAATTATTTGATTTTGTTTAAAAACCCTCGAGACAAATTGCAAATTAATGTTTTAGCAAATCAAATATATCCTAACCAAAAAAGATATTTCATGGAGAGTTTTCAAGACGCTACGTCAGAACCGTACGGTTATTTAATTGTGGATTTAAAAGCGGAAACGCCAGACTCTTTCCGTCTCCGTACGGGTTTACTTCCGGATCAACTCACCGCGGTGTATTTGTCTAAAACAGAGCCATGTCAGCCCGTATAAAACGCAACGCCAAGATTCTACGTGCTTTGTCACGTATGAAACCTCGCAAACGTCAGGAGTTTTTAAAAGGGTGCTCCGATGACGTTCTGAAGGCTTTATGCGAAATAGCTTTAAACGTGATCAAAGGAAATATACGTCTATCGCCGCGACAATTTCGAAAGTTGTCTAAAAGCAAAGAATTGCTCAGA